TGCAATTTGGTATGGATCCGATTCTTCTAAAATAGTTTCGGTCGTTCGGATTCGATTTGTTGAAATGAAATGGTGTTTGAAATTGGGAACACTCAATTGATCATTGATGCATAGTGGATATGTATGTCTAAAATTGAAGAATTGGAAATATTGGATGAAAATATTAGCTGATCAGGTACGGAACTGATTTTTTGGAATTTGTTATGGAACCGATTATTGACTGGGAACAATCAATTATCCAATAAAGTCTAACAATCAATTGTTCAAAGTATAGTGAAGGCTAATATTTGAAATTGGAAACAATCAATTGTTTAAATTAAGGGTTCAGGCCTATTTGAGTCAAATTATTGTAGAATGAGAATGAAAAATATAGTCGGTATTGAGGCCCACATAAGAGATAGAAAATTTGAATTTAAATGTTGATGTGATGGATAACGGTCATATTTTTCATTTTAATGAGATAATAATGTAGATCAAACGGGGGCTCAATATAGCGGACCCCATCTCGAGTCACATCAAGGTTANATGAGAATGAAAAATATAGTCGGTATTGAGGCCCACATAAGAGATAGAAAATTTGAATTTAAATGTTGATATGATGGATAACGGTCATATTTTTCATTTTAATGAGATAATAATGTAGATCAAACGGGGGCTCAATATAGCGGACCCCATCTCGAGTCACATCAAGGTTATTGAGGTGAGTACTCGATCGTGAACTTCAGGGCCCCGTGGAATTAATCGAGGTGAGCGCAAGTTGACTCGAATATCCACGGTTATAAAAAAAAATAATATAGTGGATGACTGAAAGTATTATTCTACATAATGAAAATATGAGATTTCATTCTCAAATCTCAATTCCAAGTAAGCAGTGGTTTTCTCTAACTCGGTGATTTAAAAGTGTTTATAAAATGAATTCTTGTTTATTATGAATTTAATGGTTAAGTGATAACCTCGTTGTATATATTGAGAATGATATGATTATATGACGTTTTCAAAGTACGAAAACGCGTAAACTACAGTTATAGTAATGTATTAAATTGTTTTTCATTAATGTTACGCTGTTTTTAAAATACAGTTAAACCTCGATAAAGTAATACCCTCGGGATCGGAAAAAAATATTCATTTAGC